CAGGTGGTTCAGTGTTCTGACGTCTGAAAGTCTCACCTCGACTCCTCCAGACAAACATCTTGTTTCTGTGGACAAACAGGACGATCTTTGTCTCGTCTGATCTGATCGTCAAACTACAGAAGACAGTGGTGTGGTCCATGTGGACAGCTGCAGGTTTCAGTCCAGCTTTCAGGTTTAGGAGCTTTTGTGGTCCTCTCAGTCCATAGGCACTGGTGGACAGAGACACTGGTGGACACAGACACTGGTGGACAGGGACACTGGTGGACACAGACACTGGTGGACAGGGACACTGGTGGACACAGACACTGGTGGACACAGACACTGGTGGACAGAGACACTGGTGGACACAGACACTGGTGGACAGGGACACTGGTGGACACAGACACTGGTGGACAGGGACACTGGTGGACACAGACACTGGTGGACAGGGACACTGGTGGACACAGACACTGGTGGACAGGGACACTGGTCCAGTCCATGGCAGGCTTGATCTTTGAGTTCTGTCCAACAGATTATTTCTGTGATGGTAAATTGAAACTACCAGCTGCTACCGTTGAGTTTTTATAAATGTTAATATATATTCTGGCCTGTTTGTATAATTTTGACCTTGTGGATTAAAGAAAATCCACAAAAAATAAATAAATAAAAAATTTCTGCCCTGACTTGTTTTGAAGCACCACTGAAGATGATGATGTTGAGTTGTTCCACCCTGGAGAACAACGTTCAGCTCATGATGTTTTTTAACTGCTTCTCTTCACTTTGATGTGATGACCTGTGGATTTAGTTTGTTTTTCCTGAAAAGTGCTGAACGAAGCGAAACATTTTCAGATGTTAAACTGTGGAAAATGGAAACTTCTCAATCAATGGGAATTTATTGGAGTTAACCGAAAATTTATTCAATTAAATTGTATTCAAAGAAAGAAATAATTCTGTTTTATCACAGGTAAAAACCATGTTTGACACTAAGTTTATGATGACTGATGATTTCTGTCACGGCTTGTTGTCATCCTTTTCTTACTTCACGTACACAACTCTGTGTTTCTAATAGAGGCTGTGGTCCCGCTCATCGTAGCAATAAATTCTGGTCCTTTCCCCAGCTGTATTTAAAATCCCTGTTAGTGATAATATATAAACTCCAGGTGTATTCCTGTTTATTCCCATAAAACTAAAATACCCATAAAAAGTTTCCATCTTTTAAAATGACTGGATCTTATTGTTACGAGGTTTAAAGAGATGAAATTCATGTTATTTTTTGCTCAGTCTAAGATAAAAACTGATCCTTTCAGTCGGGTTTAAATGCAGAAACTGTTTCAGATTTAAGGGACTTTTTTGCTTTTTGGGGGAAAAACATCATTAATTCATAAATCAGTCTGTATTGTTGCTTTAGTTGACTGATCATGTCAGGAATGTTTGATTTTAGGAAGAAAAGAGTTATGTAATCCTACCTGCATCAACACTTACTGACTGTAAATAGGATGTTAGTGTGAGGTGACTGCTTCATGCTTTCCTTCATTGTTTCCTTCATTGTTTCCTTCATTGTTTCCATTCTCACTGTGATTCTAATCTCTGCCACAAAGGAAAAGCACAGTTTCATGCAGGTGTTTGGGACTGTGGTCCTCTCCTCCTGATCAACGCTTTCAGCTCCATCGTCTCATTTTTTCTCGGTGGCCGAAACACAAAAACAAAACAAAAAGAAATGTACTAATCATTGTTTGGTAACTGTTTTTAGTGCTATGTTTTTGAAGCGTTCTGAGTATTTTCTAACATGTTACGAGAAAAGATTGTAGTGTACAAATTCACATTTATAAAATATATAAATATAGATATATATGAAAAATGTATGTTCTAATGCAATAAAGAGAATAAGAATTCTGAAAACTAGACTGAACTAAGAATTGTCTTTATTTACATGCCATCATACCTTTTTATCACCAACATTATGAGGTTTGTGTGCGTCTGACTGTTAAAATATGTCATTAAGCAGTGGATAGATAGATAGATGGATGGATGGATGGATGGATGGATGGATGGATGGATGGATGGATGGATGGATGGATAGATAGATAGATAGATAGATAGATAGATAGATAGATAGATAGATAGATAGATAGATAGATAGATAGATAGATAGATAGATATTAATGAAACTAAAAAAGTAATTAGATGTGTGTCCTTGGTTAACTTTGAGTCAACTCAGTTCAAGATGGCCGTCTCAGCTAATAAACTATAAAGAAAACAGACCCATCCATCCATCCATTTTCTTCCGCTTATCCGGAGTTGGGTCGCGGGGGCAGCGGCTTCAGAAGGGAGGCCCAGACCTCCCTTTCCCYAGCCACTTYTTCCAGCTCCTCTGGGGGAACTCCAAGGCATTCCCAGGCCAGCCAAGAGACGTAGTCTCTCCAGTGTGTCCTGGGTCTTCCTCGGGGCCTCTGAGGTGAAAACTCACTTCTTCTGGTCCAAAAGTGAACTGCCGTTGATCTCGGATAAAGAATGACTCTGGATTCAGGCTGRTTTKAACAGCAAGCAACTTTATTACTGCAGATCAAAAATACAGCCTAAGATCAAATTRTGGCCTTCAGCCAATTGATTTCTCCAGTACGAAAGTCGGAGAAAGAAAGGCCCCGAGGTGGGGGTGTACAGAGGTTTTCAAGCAACAGATGTACATAAATCACGGTGCACCTCAGACTTTGTCCTAAAATGGTGATGTGTGTGAAACTAGGAAGCTGAGTGGCTGATGAGACACAGATATGTGGCATTCCTGAGACAAACCCGAGAAAACCCCCACTCTTAGGACACTACACCTCCTCCCGGTGGGACGTGCCCGGAAAACCTCACCAGGGAGGCGTCCAGGAGGCATCCTTACCAGATGCCCGAGCTACCTCAACTGGCTCCTCTCGACGTGGAGGAGCAGCGGCTCTACTCTGAGTCCCTCCCGAATGATCGAGCTTCTCGCCCTGTCCGTAAGGGAGAGTCCAGCCACCCTGCGGAGGAAACCCATTTCGGCCGCTTGTATCCGGGACCTCGTTCTTTCGGTCATGCCCCAAAGCTCATGACCATAGATGAGGGAAGGGACGTAGATCGACCGGTAAATCGAGAGCTTCGCTTTTTGACTCCTTGGGCTGCCACCTTATCGTGGTGGAGGGGTTTGAGTGTCCCAATGGTCCTAGGAGCTATGCTGTCTGGGGCTTTATGTCCCTGATAGGGTCACCCAAGGCAGACAGGTCCTGGGTGAGGAACCAGACAAAGCGCAGCCCGAAGACCCCTTATGATGAACAATAACTTTGGATCTGACGTTTTCTCGCCCGGACGCGGGTCACCGGGGCCCCCCTCTGGAGCCAGGCCTGGAGGTGGGSCACGATGGCGAGCGCCTGGTGGCCGGGCTTTCACCCACGGAGCCCGGCC